GTATTTGTTTAGTCTCTAAAGAGAAATAATGATGACAGTGTGTTTCCACATTTCCAGTAAATTTGGTATTTACTAATAAGAAAAGTTTATAATTTGCATCAGAATTTGCAATATAAAAGATATAATGATAGACTATTATTGTGCAAAATTTCAGGAGTCAGACTCCTGTTGGGACATGGGATTGAATGCCTGAGTCAGAGTAGTCTAACACAGTAAAAAAAAAACAGGTAGCCAACAGAAAAACTATATCCTAAACATGAAATATGACCAACAAAAGTTTTGCAAAACTGAAAACTTGTCAGTACTCAGACGACAGCCAGCTCATAGTTTCTCTGCACCTGTTTTTTTTTTCTCTACCAGCCACTAATTTACCCTCTGAGTCACTTCAGATCCTGCCATTCCCCCATTCCCCTTGGTATCCAACAGTTGTTCCCAGTGGGATCCATCCTTTATCACAACTGCACACCTGCTCCCCATTCCCTCATTAACTTTCCCTTATATACTGTATGTTAGCCTTCTAGCCCCAGTACTTTGCCAGTTCATCTAGAGGCCTATCCCAGGTGTCACTAATAACATTAACTATGGCTGCATTCTATTCATTTGTCCCAGTGAGTCAGAATGCAGAATAAAATGACCCTGAAACTGAAGGAGCTAAATAAAATCCCTTCTTTGTATTATTTACTTGTGTGTTCTCCTGTGGACTACTTTGCCTATTCTGACTGCCTTCCTGGAACGCAGCTTGCCATTAACACCATATTACACTTTGCTTCACTATACCTGTCTTTCCACTCCTTACTCAGCCTTAGTCGGTTAACTTTCAACTCCCGCTCAACACTTTATGCATTTGATCATTTTTAGTTTACAAATTCCTTTTTGAATTTTTCAATTTGCTCTGTTAAAGAGGGGGGGGGGCAAGACAAACACAACTAACACTGTTTTAAGGTTCACTTGGAAGTCTCACTGGAAAAGCATCTAAAACTCATCTCTTTCCAACAATCACCAATGCAAAATAAACCCTTATTTCACAGAGTTAGCGGTGAAAATATTCATAAAAAGGGTTGCAATGGCCACAACTTGAGCCAAGGTTAATCCGTGGTTGCAAATGTCCCTGACAGAGTACTAAAAGTGCTGCCACTGACAGGCTCAGATGTTTGTGTGAGGAAAGGATCCCTACAGAGATCTTTTGTTTAACCAGAAACAGCTGTTGTATTGCTATCGCTTGCCATACTCCTGAGATAATTTCACCTCGCATATCACTGTAACATTATAACTGTATTCAAAGTAGACAGAAGCAAACTAAAACTCACTAACTTTGTTATTCTTTCCCACTGTTCCAACAATCACAAACTCAGCTTTGGTCGAAATACATTTCAGTCACTCTACTGAGCTGCACACTGAGCAGACGGGCTATAACACACAGAGAGGCAGGCAAAGGGCGTGTGACATAATTCTCTGCTCAGGAAACCATGACTCCACCATATCTTTAGCAAATAGTTGTTTGCTGCTGTATTAACGTTTTAAATCTGATATAACCTTTAGGTGAGTAAATGACATCAACACTCAAGCTGTGGAGAGAGAATATTTAAGAAAAAGGTTTGAAAGCTGATAAAACTGCATCCTGCATCATGAAAGACTTAATCAAAAGTACTGAGATGAGATTGGGGATGTCTTTAATGTTATATTTAGCTGTTAAACCCTGCTATGAAAAGTAAAAAACATTTTCTATCACTTGCAAAAAATACAGGATAAGACTACAGGGGCTGTTTTCACAGAGTCTAAGAATAAGATCTGTTATTCAGCCTACAGATCCCAGCAAGGAGTCCCAGCTTATAAGTGATTTAGGTATCAGTGTAATATGATGTTTCTTAAGATTGACTTTCACTTTCACTTTCACTAATCAGCAACAATTCTCATCTACACTATATCGCCAAACCTACGGGGGTCTTGAAACAGTGCATTGCTGATAATGTAGACATCCCTTCCTTACATTTTTGTTGGCACACAAACAGCAAACACCCGGTGGGAAGGAGGTTATCAAGCAGTATTCATGGCATAATGTTGAGATCAAGATCAACCACAAATACCATCCCTACACAGTCTAATTTCATCATTTTCCTGTTGTTCAGCATTTGAAAGCAATTTTTTAGTGTGTTTCTAAAGCTTTTTTCACGTTTGATTCCTGTTGGCTTTAGACACTTGGAGAATAGCAGTTGTCCTAAGATTTCACGTAATAGTAGTACATTTTGAGAAATATACTTATTTGCTTTCTTAGATGAGACACCACTCTCATATATTTCCCTTGAATGCTGTATGAGGCAGCTAGAAGCAACTTATCTTAGCTTATCTTAAAGACTGGAAGAAGAAGGAAAGAGCTGACAAACCCTGCTGACAAACAGTCCACCTCGCTCACATTTAGTTCACAAAACCAGTTTTTATTTGTTTTATCAGAAGCCAAAGAAGACGACATTAGATGCAGTTGTTGCAGTCTTTATGCTAAGTTAAGCTGACCAGCTGCTGGCTGTAGCTTCATACTGAGTGGACAGATATAGGAGTGGTACGGTAAGGAAGTGAATAAGCACATTTCCCAAAATGTCAAACTATCCCTATAACCTTATTCTTAAATGGAAGTTCTCTAATTCCACAGACATACAACCTCCATGGAAGATATGAAAGGAAACAAAAAAACAAGGGTGATTGCAGTCAGTATGTGTGAAGATATAATTGTTACTGAGGCAAAGCCAAAATGTCTGGTTTGATACCAACAGAAAACAGTAGCATCATGAGACATTTACATAAAAACCATCCCGAAAGATATGGAATGATATGGGAATTAAGACTTTTTACGTATTCTGTGCCAGTATATTGGAAGAAAAAAAACATATTCATGCAGTTAGTTGCTCTTTCAGGGGAGGTGTAATAATGTTTCTGGCAATAAACATGAACACTTTGCACAGCCACCTTTTTTTTTATCTCCTGGCAACATATCTCACTGTGCACTTTGAACAATTATGACTTTATTTATAATGAAAAATGAAATGAAAGCGAGGTGGGGAAAATTAGCTGTTTCATATGCCTTTTTTACAATAGGAACATGAGGTTATGGTATTTTTCCCCACATTTCTGCTTGCATGTCATCGCGTTATGTTGTTGACCTTGTGTGTGGGTTTTAGTGTGCATGGTTCTTGCTTGCATGCATAAAACCCTTCTTGGACCTTGCACAGTTTTGCATCTGCATCTGCAGAGTGTAGTCACTTGATGCCAGCAATACTGCAGAGAACTACCTTCTGTCAGTCTGATTGGAGGTCCAGCTTTATCTGATTGTATTTCTGGGCATGCTGGAACTCAGCATGGGCTTAATACTCAGGAGAGATGGGATAGGATAGGAAGAGTTTGTTGGGGAAGGTCAGAATGTGGGAAAATAAGGAATCTGTAATTACAAAAAAGAGTGCAAAGGCTGGATGGAAATAACCAAAAAGAGGGAGAGGATGGGACAAATAAAAGTGAAGGGACTATTAGGAGTAGGCAGAAGAAGGAAAGGATGGAGTCAGTAATGAGAAAAAAAGGGATTTGTACAGAGGTGACAACGAGAAGGAACAAGATGAGGGGTGAGGGAGGTGAGGTTATTAGGAGAGGCAGGAAGGAAACGATAGAAAGG